CGAAGGGAGGCAGAGGAGCTCACGTGTGCATCACAGTTTCCAATACAACATGTAAAACATTTCAAGCTAGTTCATAGCATATTTCTTTCTCCTGGTGCCCAGGAAGTCTCAGTCCTTCAGTCACTTAACTTCATAAATAATCATGAAAATAATAATAGCTAACCATTTTGGAAAGATCCACTTGATCCCAGGAATTGCAATATATTCTTTGCATACAGTATTACATTTAATCCTTGTGCAAATTTGCTGTGTACAGATATTAGCTCCAATTTTCGAATGAAGGACATGGAGACCAGTCATGGAAGGTTACATGACTTTCTCAAGGTCACACAGCTAGTGAGAAGTGGTAGAACTGGCTTTGTTCACCCAGATCTCTCTCTCCAAGTCCACACTCTTAAGCTTACTATTTCTCTAGGATGTCAGAAAGCTAATATTTTACACACACACACACACACACACACACACCAATTTCATGGTTAAATACATTGATGAAATAATACTGAGTCAAATAATGTGTTACAGAGTTACTTATCACAGGATTGCCCAGAGCTTTTATGACGATGATGTGCGTTGTGAATCTATATGAGAGGGAAGAAATGTTCCCGATTTCCCAAGCCTGTTTGACAATGGACCTTTTTCATCAAAGAAGGCTTCATGAAATCAGCACCCCTTACAACACACTTAGGGAAATGATGCTCTTTAGAGATTCTCTCTCTGACTTAGAAGAAGCAGTATTTTCATGTTTGGGCCAAATTAGTATGCTGATAATATTCATGCACATCAAGCTTGGCCAACTTTGTATATGGTCCAGTTTTTTTTTTTTCATTGAGAAGAAATTCCTTCTGGGAATTACCCTGGGCTTATTGATTTGCGTTGATGCATTTCTCAGTCATCATGAGGAACTTGCAGAGTGCCTCCTCTTTGGGAACAATGAACCCTCCTGAATTTTAACTCTAGACCAAAGAGTTAAAATCTGACCAAAACTATATGCACTAACCACATGTGGTTATGTACGTTTAAATTAGTTAAAATTATATAAATGAAAAATGTGCTTCCTTGATTGTATTACCCACATTC